ATCAAAAAAGGAAGAGAAAATTAGGTTCAGGTACAAAGTTAGAAACACTCCAAATAAAAGGACTTGCACCCTGTCTAGGTTGAGGAGCTTTTTAACACCATAGGCGCACTAGACAACCATCAATATATAAAAGGTATGTTACGTCAGCCAGGTTGGAGAAGCATGAGGGCTTCTTCTCAGGACATATAAATATGAATGCAATTTTTTATAGAGGTCCTTATTATGGAGGCTCTATTAATTATGACTTGGGTTGTAACAATGCAATGCAACCCATTTAAAATCCTGCCCAAAAACCATGCAGGAAAGTAAAAGTGCATATTTTAAAAATAATAAATATTTTAATCTTAAAAAATTTATTGTCTTGAATATTTTATTAGCATTCTATAGAAATTTTAGGATTTCAAATCCTGAAGAGCATATATTGCTTGGATGATTCTCAGGAAAACCACATAATAAAATAATGAATCAATTCAAGCATTCATTCACACAATAAGGCAAATAATAAGCCAAATAAAATATATTAAAGGCTAATTGCGCTGGATCGACAACATATCCTGGAAAAGAAAAACACAGTCATAATCCACATATAGATGATTAGTCGTAATTCTATACATCAATATAAAATGCAAAATTAAGATACGAGACACGAGCATCTATTCTTGGTCACTTGCCACGTGCTTCCCGTGTCATAATGCCTCATAAATTATGCACATATCTTATTTCTACTCCAGGACCCTACTAGGACTCTAAGAAGTACATAGAAAAAAAGAGAAAGGACTCGACATGCATGAAAACAAGGTTAGTAGAGAAAGCCAAGCAACGTATAAATAGTCGTGTCTGGTGGGGGAGCTAAGCATCACATGCAAGAAGAAGGTTAGTAGATATCATTACGGCTCCCTACAGAAGAACACCCTAACACATAACCATGCATATCAAACATGTGTAGGCATACCAAAAGGCATAACTTAGGAAGGATGCCTAGCTAGGGCAACCAAAACAGCCAAAAACAATAGTCAGACATCAAAAAGACAACCTATAATCCTAGATCCTAGCTTAGAGCACCATCTAACAAAAGGTTTCCTAACCAACATCTAAGTGCACGGGGTAAATTCACCAACTACACTATGACTTTGACGAGTTTGCCACACTGGCCCCGTCCTAAGCATCCAAGGGGTTTGTCGGCACTATTTTTGGTGTGGGGTTTG